TACACTTAGAGACAGACAACCAAGCACACTCACATCCACACCTACGGACAATTTAGAATCACCAATTAACCTCAACATGTTTTTGGACTGTGTGGGAGGAAGCCGAAGAATCCGGAGAGAATCCAGGCTGCATGGGGAGAACATGCAAACTCCACGCAGAAAGATCCCGGTGCCCCCAGAAACCGGCAAACTTCTCGCTGCGAGGCAACAGTGCTACCAACTGTGCCACTTCGCATCCCAGTATCACTTTCCAGTATTATATAACTTATATTATGCATACCATGTTCTAATAGATGTTGGTTCGCGCCTCGGTGGGGGCACCAGAATCTTTCTGTGTGGAGTTTGCATGTTCTCCCCGTGCAGCGTGGGTTCTCTCTGAGTCCTCCAGCTTCCTCCCACAAGGTCCAAAAACATGTTAAGGTTAATTGGTGATTCTAAATTGTCCATAGGTGTGAATGCGAGTTTGCTTGGTTGTCTATCTTTAAGTGTAGCCCTGTGATATACTGGTGACCTGTCCAGGGTGTCCCCTGCCTTCACCCTGAGTTGGCTGGGAACATTTGTCTGTGATTTGTAGTGGAGTAAAGTACAAGTAACCTGAAACTGTACTGAAGTACAGTAGTTCAGTAAATGCACGTAGTTACTTTCCACATGTGGTGCACCTACATTAAACACAGTAAGGCACATAGATGGAAATACAAAAGTTTTGTTAGAAAAAAAATGGAGGCAGCAGAGGTCTCATATTAATGTTATAAATATAACATTACATACACTATATTGCCAAAAGTATTCACTCACCCATCCAGAGAAACGAAATCATGTGTTCCAATTACTTCCATGGCCACAGGTGTATAAAATCAAGCACCAAGGCCTGCAGACTGTTTCTACACACATTTGTGAAAGAATGGGTCGCTCTCAGGAGCTCAGTGAATTCCAGCACGGTACCATGATAGGATGCCACCTGTGCAACAAGTCCAGTCGTGAAATTTCCTCGTTCCTAAATATTCTACAGTCAACTGTTAGTGGTATTACAAGAAAGGGGAAGTGATTGGGAATAACAGCAACTAAGCCACAAAGTGGTAGGCCACGTAAACTGACAGAGCGAGGTCGGTGGATGCTGAGGCACATAGGGAGCAGAGGTCGCCAATTTTCTGCAGAGTCAGTCGCTGCAGACCTGCAAATTTCATGTGGACTTCAGATTAGCTCAAGAACAGTGTGTAGAGAGCTTCATGGAATGGGTTTCCATGGTCGAGCAGCTGCATCCAAGCCATTAATCACCAAGTGCAATGCAAAGCATTGGATGCAGTGTTGGAAAGCAAGCCGCCACTAGACTCTAGAGCGGTGGAGATGCGTTCTCTGAAGTGACAAATCACGCNTACACTTAGAGACAGACAACCAAGCACACTCACATTCACACCTGCAGACAATTTAGAATCACCAATTAACCTCAACATGTTTTTGGACAGTGTGGGAGGAAGCCGGAGAACCCGGCGAGAACCCACGCTGCAGTGCTACCAACTGCGCCACCCTGCAGCCCCTTGCATGAGATTATTTTTGAAAAAAAATTCTGTTAAAAACAATGTCTGATTTTTATTGGTTAATTTTCATAGAATTTTTTATTTATTATTACTTTTGTCAGATTCAAGTTATTTCTGTGACTGTTGTGAACTTTTCTTTCATTAACTGAGTCGTACCAACAATTTTATCCACGTGTGAAGTTTGGAACTGAAGCTAATTATCATTTTCACTGTCACTTAATCTGTCTATTACCTGGATTCTGGATTGTGTTTTGCTCCTTACAAACTAGTAAAATCATAGATAAAAAGCATTTAATGGACATCAGAAATTGGTATTTTCACAAATTTGTTCATTTACAAACGATGGCCATAAAATGTTTTTGTTTTTTTTTCTTAACTGATTGAGTGAGTTGTACCACAAAAACACAAATATTGGTAGATCTTGATCCAAGTGGACCGGAGTTCTGGAGCTTCAAAATAGTTCTTTTAGTCCATAATCATTTTTCAATCATTGGTTGCTACAGTGATTCCCACCTTTCAGTGAAAATACAGAATTTGGTTGCAGAAAGTGAAACAGAAGATTAGACCCTTGAACAAATGGTCACAGTTCTCTGAGACATAACAACAACAACAACAACTGCACGCGTGCTACAGCAATGAGACTCACTCTGGATAAAAGAAGACAAAAAATTTCGTCATTTTTATGTATAAATTGTTTATGTGGAGGAGAAATCGTGAGGAGACAAGGTTAGTAGCACTGGAAAAAAAATGCACATTCAGGTCAAAACTTGAAAAAAAAAATCTTAGTTTTCAAAAAAATTCATAGAACTTAAACTACAACTGTGTAAAAACAGTNTCTGACTTTGACTGCATTTCTGTTCTTTTTATTGGGTTGTTAAAAGTTTTGGACTGATTTTGGACATTTTGTCAGTTTTCATCAATATTTCTGAGATATGCAAACTTTGAATAAAATTTTGTTTAACCAAAAAACTACATTAAGTTAGAGTTACAGTTACTTTTAAAGGCAATGTATTCAGTATTGTTATCATAGACACAAGTCTTTAGATTGATTACTCATAAACTTTAAGTTGCTCCATGTAATTTAAAAGGAATTTTTAAGTGTCATGTGTGTAACTATTGTAGCTATGAACAAAAGTTTGTCATTTAACAACCATTTAAAAGATTAAGTTGCTCCAATTCTTTTTTTTTTCCCCTATTCTGCCCATATTGTAGTTTTGAAGAAATTAATTAATTCAATGACAAAATTTTGTCTGGTTAAATTTTTACTTACAATTGTGGATTTGAACATGCTATATGTAAATCTTAAAACACCTCCACCAAATTTCTGTTTAAAGTTCACACAATATTAAGTTGATGCAATTGCCAACACAATTATGTCAACCGAACCCATCTGAATAATTCTGAAACTATAAGAGTTTTATCCTAATCAGCAAATTACAATTTTTATTTTGCAATCATGCGTTGGAGTAAGTCATGGGAATACGTCTCTGAATTATTTTTTAGCGTGTTCTACAAAAACACATAATACAAAAAAGTTTATGTCCTTCTGCTTCCCAGGCTTTTCTCCACTATTGTTAAGCCCATTGTGTATTACAAGTGTTGCATGTCTTCTAATTTGTTTTAAAAGTTAACTAGACATAAACAAATGACAAACCAAACAATCCAGTGAGTGGATTTATAGAACCTTCATGACACTTTCATGCAGCAGCTGATTTTTGGACATGCAAATGTCTTCTTTTCTTCTTCACGTCTCCATTTACTGTTCACAGAGTGAAGGAGCTTTGTGATGACGTGAGACCACCCTGCATACTTTCTGAAAGTTATTTAGACGTTTGCAAGGCCATTCCAGCACCAGTAAAAACACACTGAGCACAAAGGCAAGTGTGCCAACAGACGTCACACAAAAGAGCACGAAAATGCTAAAAGCACCCCTGAGTGCTGCAGTAAATGTCTTTAAGCCATTGTTAGGCAGATAACAGTTGTGTTTTCTCCTCCTCTTTCCTCTTCCCAGTGGAGACACATCTGTGATGTCGGGACATTACAGGAAGTTATCAGATCATTGTTTCTGACCTCATGAAACTTTGAAACCTGTTCTTAGTTTTTCAGTTATAATATTGTTGTTTTTGATGTCCACTTAATTTAACATGAATGTTTCTAAAAGGTTTGACACTGATTTTTTTTTTCAAAACATTTGACTGTGATTTTACAGATTTGACCTGTTTTGTTAAAATACTCAAATTATTCATTTACATTTCAACCCCTCCAAAAAACAGGCCAAAACTGGGCATAACATCCATCCATTGTCTATACATCGCTTAATCCTCACTAGGGTCGCAGGGGGGCTGAAGTCTATCCCAGCTGATTCAGGGTGAAGGCAGGGGACACCCTAGACAGGTCACCAGTTAACCTCAACAATTAACCTCAGCATGTTTTTGGACCTTGTGGAAGGAAGCCAGAGAACCTGGAGAGAACCCACGCTGCACAGGGAGAACATGCAAACTCCACGCAGAAAGATACCAGTGTTCTCACCAGGACATGAACTGGCAACCTTCGTGCTGCGAGGCAATGGTGCTAACCACCAAACCACCTTGCAGCTGGGCACATCTAAAATAACTTGCAAAACTCAGGTCCTACCACACACTTGAACATGAATAGCCTTAGGAATATAAGTCTCCAGATATTCATACTCTGTATATGTTCTCTGTTCATCATTTCTTCATCTCCTCCACCAGCATCCCCCTCTGACTCCATCTATTTTCCCCCTGGTGCTGCCACACAAAGCCCTGGGTCAGCGAGGGTCAGTCCTGCAGTGACATCTGCTAATTGTCCTGATGGGCCGGCCTCTGCGGTTCTTTCAATACCAGTCACTCTGTAGGTGTCTGTAGCTGCAAGGATGCAGCAGCTGCCACCTTCATGACTTTTCTCCACCTCCCGACCCCTCACCCCCTCCTTTACACCGTAAGGATTGGCCTCTGTGGGTGTTATTAGCAAATAATAACCAGTAATGTGGCTTTAAAGATGGGACTGTTTCCAGAATTGTAAAGTTAATAAAGCTGTTGGAGGCAAATAGCAACATGGAGGGCAGAAATAGCCAACTAAACTAGTGTAGAGAGTAACTCATATTCTTAAGTACAAACTTTATTCAACTTTAGATTAAATTGTCATATTTAATTATTTTTGATGCTCAAAGTCCTTCTCGGTAATGGAGATTTTAGCAGTGTTTACATGTGGAAAGTAGAGCTGCAATTAATGATCATTTTTCACTGCTGATCAATCTGTTGATAATTTTCTGGATTAATTGGTTTGTTGTTTGGTCCATAAAACGTCAGAAATTTGTGAAAAATCTCGACCAAAGCACAATATGGCAAATGTCTTGTTCAGTTTACTGTTATAGAAGAAATATAATATTCATATTAAAGAAGCTACAATCACAGAATTTGGACTTTTTTGGTAAATAAATATATATATATATATATATATATCTCCAAGCCAACCAACTGTACATTCAAATAGCTGGCAATTATTTTAATAGTTGGCCCACTAAAAAACAATTGTCTCTCCATCAGCTCCAGAATTGATTTAATAATAGCTAATTTGGCACAAATCAGCTCTCCATGTGTAAAATCCTTGAGCGATAGAAAAACTTCTGAGCTGTTCACCCAACAGGACTCAGGCATGATCAGATGCTCTTACATCTGCGGGTTTCTAATTAAACCTGCCGCACTCGATCGGACAAATGGCGCAATGGAACCTGAGACAGAAGGAGAGAAAAGGTTCCAACTTTCCCTTTGATGAGTCCATAAATTTGCATCAAAAGCGGCGTTCATGTGTCCGACCAGCGTAAAATCCCACATTTGCAAATAACGACAAGCGGAGCCACAAAGAGGAACACGGAGGGAGAGAAAGAGGGCACATTTTAACCAGCTGCCCGGCAATAAATAACCGGCGCGGCGCCTCCAGCTGAGAGCGCACATTTACATTTTGAAGGGGCCGCGCGGGGGTTCCACGAGGCCGGAGCGTGTCCGCGCGTCCGAACGGGAAAGACAGAGGTGGCGATTGTTCCTGTCAAAAACTCCATTTGGGGAACTTTCAGGTTGAATGAGATATAAATGTTCAGACGCTGAGTATATAAAGGCCGGAGGAGCGCAGGCTGCAGCACTGCGCCTTGGACGCTCCGCAGCGCGCAGAGATGCAGCCGACTGCAGCCAAACTACTCCTGAACCACAGAACACCGTTCTCTGTGGAAGATATTCTGGACCCCACAAAATTTACCAAGAAAATAATCTGTGCTGAGGATGCAGCTGCAGGTGAGACTGGAACTCTTTGAAGCCTGTGTGTGTGGATTTATACACCGTAAAAAGAAATATATTTTAACATGTTTTTAACTGTGATTTTTGAACATTTTACTGCAAATGTACAAATCTTTATTGTTTTGTGTTTTTTTTTTTATAAAATTTTTTAAAAATTAAGAGTAAAATTACAAAAACAATATTAATTTACATGTTGACTGTAAAAATAAAACAAAACAAAATAAAACACAAAAAAAAGCAAAACAGGCCCAAACTGTAAATAACCAAAAATCTGTATTTTTTTTTTTTTTTTTACCAATAAGAATTGTTATTCAGCACTGTTGCATACAAATAACAGTATCTTAAAATTATCTTTTACCATTTTTGCAGTTTTTGTTTTTAAAGTTAAAATATTTCACCAGTGTTTTTTTATACATATTTTGTCTGGTACCTTTCTGCCAGACTGTTTTCTCAAAAACTCTTTTTTTTTCTTTTTTTTTTTTACAGTGTTGCTTGGCAACTTTTAAAAATCCATAGTATTAAGTATTTATGTTTAATTGTTCTCTTTTAGGGGTTCAAAGGGCAAGAGATGAAGCCATAAAGCAGCAGCAGCAACAGCAGCAGCGTCCCCCGGCAGGTGAGAGCCCGGAGAGCACGTGTCCGGTGAAGGAGAAGAGCCGTCGGTTCCGCACCGCCTTCACCCTGGAGCAGCTGCAGGTGATGGAGTGCAGCTTCCAGCGGTGTCACTACCTTTCGGTGCTGGAGCGGCACAACATCGCTGCGGTGCTGCGCCTCTCCGAGACGCAGGTGAAGATCTGGTTCCAGAACAGACGCACCAAGTGGAAGAAGGAGAGTCTGCAGGGGAAGGAGGCGAAGGAGCTCACAGCCGCACCGTCCTTCTCCGCACATCCTGCGGTCTCTCTGTCCTGCAGCCCTCTTTACTGCCAGCAGCCCAACCCGCTCCAGATGTTTGCGCCACTGCCGTTGGTGCCATATCGCCATTATTATACGTAGTAAATACGCCCAGAGTGACTAAGGAAAACCACTTCTGCAGCATAAACTAAGGCAGGCTATGGCACTAAATATCATATATTTAGGAGGCTTGCTACAGTGCCACAATGGACTGGGGAGAGAAAATGAAAATGGATAAGAATGTTTAATATTTTCTAATGTACTTATGCGATAACTTATTTTGATAAACTTTTTTATTTAAGCTGGTTTGTTCATTGT